GAGTGTAGACAGTGCTATTTGCTATTATGAAAGCAATTCTAAACCCGGTTTATCCGACAAGATAAAAATCCGCTAACCATGGATTTGCTGAAGACTTTGACCTTACAAATAGCATGTGATAAAGAATTTAGAATGTATGTGAAATAGCTTGCGGTAGGAAGTCATGACTGGTAGAATTTAGAGGTCTCAAATGTGAAACAATTACCACCAATTACATTAAATGGTCATTGTACTATATCGCAAATTGATTGAAGTCGATATTACATGAATGAATGCCAACCTAGTGGTTTTACTAATCAATAGTTAACTGCATGACATGAAGATCCTGGGTTCATTTACTTTTTAATAACACCCAAATCGGGATCAATCCCTGACGAATACAACTTACAAGTTAAACTCATTTCCACAAAATAGAGTGTAATATGAATTTTATACTAAGATCATTTTATTTCTTAATGTGTATTTATGATTTATCAATAGATGAAACAAAATAAATTGGATATACATGCAGAGCTTAATGAATTCAATAATTTATCTACCATAAATATGACAACTACAACCAATCTATTCGAAAATACTAATTGTATTAATCTAGCCAATATAAATACTACCATAAATAATAAACAATCATCAAATCTTATTTTATCAGATTATCGACAAGCTGCATTACATTCTCCACCACTACCAACGACGACGACAACAACAATAATAACAACCACAGCAACAACACTATATCCAACTCTGGATGATAGATTACATCATAAATCTCTTAGTAACCCTACAAATAATATCCAAGATGAAACAATCTACCCATTGATAAAATTTTCTGTTTCAAATATTCTTAATAAACACTGAGAAATAGTACCATTAAAATAACAATTATAACTTGCATACAGTTTTTTCTGAAACATCCAATAATGAAAAATAATTATCAATATAGGGATTATGGAGATTATTAAGTTTTTGATTGAGATCATGAACCGATTGATGTTAGACCACTGTTGGAGATCTGGAAGGCCGTTTCGACCTATTTTGGAACTCTTCAGCAGTGCACAACCACGATCCCGCTCGCGGGATTCGAAACCACGGCCTTCAGTCTCGCGCGCGAACGCTTAACATACTGGACTACTGTTGGTGTCTAACATCAACCAATCCGCGAAATTGCGCGACCATCTTCCATTGTACTGAGGTAGATACCTTTCTATGCTCGACACGTATTATACTCAGAATAAAAATTTAAGTATCAAGTAATATGGGTAGATAACTTCAGCTGTTCAACAAAATGGGAACAGTATAGTATAGTGATGAGTTTAGAACAACTACAAATTACGATAGGCTTTTTAGCTAATCAAAAAAAATAGCTTTTATAGATGAAGAGTTTAGGAGAAATAAAGTAATAATATTGTAAAGTGATAACAAATTATATAGAAGTAGCTAATCTATTGATGTATTCTATAAGTTATTCTGCTTATAAATCGAAAGAATAAACTTGGTCTGATGGATGAGCATTGTTTATATTCTCGAATCCTTAAGAATACACACACACATTTTGAATAGTACCCACATATTTCCGAGTTAAGGACAGGATTTTCATCATGAATTGACATTAACTAGAATCTTAAATCATTCCCAAGTCATTAATGAATAAAATCCATTGAAAAGTGTGAGAGGTGACATCTGATTAGTTTGTTGATAAAATTGAAGGCCATCAGGTTAAGGTTTTCTTCAGGATTAATTAAGGGTTTAGAGTTGATATTTAGGGATAGTGTCAGTTTGCCTGTTATGTACAATCTGTAGGAACAGAATTAGACACTTGATACATTAAACACTATCATTATTCCACTCTATGATGGTTGGAAATAATTGTTCGCTATCATTTCAAACGTTTTAATTAGTGTCCAGAAGAATGTTTAATGGTTGATGTATGTGGTGTGTTGAATTTCGCGCACCAAACCAAATGCTCGCTTCTCGATTCTGATTGATCCTTGAAGCATACTTTTATCAATGAAGTAACAATGTTTTGTATCTAAACATTCACAGTTCAAAATAACGTGGATACACTGTTCATAGCTTGTCCGTAAGTTAGTATATATCAAGCTCGAAATTTTAGAGTAATACCAATCGATATCTCTAATCAGGGAATATGCATCTCCGAGCATGGTTCAGACCAGCAGTCAATAAATCCATGAACTACTCTATTTATATTTTTTCCAATCTACTTGTATAACAGACAATGTTGGTCATCTGGACAGATTGCGGCTGAATATGCATAACATATACTAAAATTATGTAGGTCAGGGAAGGTTTATAGTTTCATCGATCGACCGAATATCTTTGCTCAGAAATATTGAGTTCCAAAGTAGAAATAATACTTATAGTATGAATGTTTTCCATATCATAAATGACTCGTTATTGTGTGCACTAACTGACTAAATGAAGTTCTTATCAGCCGGTTCCATAAAATCGATTACCTGTTTACAAGTTATCGTTTAATTATAAATCAACAAGATAATTCCATTTACAATTGAATGATCACTGGGTGGTGATCAATGTCATGTAAGTCAAGTCCTTCTTAGTGTAGATTGAATCCTATCGACTAAGTTGCAATGTGGCCACCAGTCTAGGTGACTCGACACTGCGTGCACTATGTTGAGATCAGATGATAGTAGGAGGTAGCCAACAGGAAACCACATTGCAACTTGGTCAATAGGACTTGATCTACACTAAGAAGGACCTGACATACATGACATTGATCACCACCCGGTGATCAATCAATTGTAAATACATCTCAGTCCTACAAACCAGTTGCAGCCCAGACAGCTCATTGGTAACGTCTCTGACTGTGAAGCTGGATGACAGGGGATCGGATCCGTCAGGGAGCATCAGTTCCCTCAAAATTACAGGTACACCTTGCTGACGACTGCTAAGTAGCATGAAACTTAGGTCCAGAGTTCCCTGTTGACTACCTCCATCAAGTTTCTACTAAATGAGGATCATTGAACTCAGTTGAAGTACAATATGTTTATTTACATAGCTAATTATTTTCAATTACAACTTCTATACATGATTAACAAGACTGCTTCTATCTTTTTCATCATTGTCTGTTAATTAGAGTAAGACGTTCAAGTTTATATAAAAGCTTCAGATAAAAACTTCAGAAGAATTGGATTATATCCAAGTTAGTTTAATTATATATCCATTATACAATGGTTATTAATTACAGAACTGGGCAACTATTAAACAGTACGAAGTCACAGTGAATTAATTAATACAAGGCAAAAATGCATTGAAAAGTAAATAATTACAACTGAAAAAAACACAGGTTGCTAATGAACAGAATTTAATGTGAATAAATTAATACGACGAAATCGCGTTGACAGCTGACTGTACAGAAATCACCTTAAAAACAATATGTGAATCTTAATATTGATTTTCTTTTTCATCTGTTGCATTTGAGAATGCCGTCTCCACAACAAATGTGATGAATGGGTCCAACGTAATAACTAGTCTATAGTGTATACTTAGATCGTTTATGGGTGTTAACTCATATCAGTAACAAAATTCCAGATAGATTATAGAAGTCTTCGTACGAACTAGTAACAGATAGAAACCGAACATACCGGAAGTGATACACGTATCATTGATGAAATTGGATGATCGTTATTATAAAATTGAGGATGTTGCTATGTTTGGACAGATTACTAGTTCACCTAATCTGAAAACAGAACGAAGACTGTGACACAATGACAGATGAGCTAGCTATCCCGACGCGTCCCAGCCCCGCTAACTAGAGGGAGACGTTCAAGTTCGGAAGAAGGAAATAAATTCCACAAGCAACCAGAAGCACGAACAACAACAGCAAACACAAATCAAGCGTATGATATACAGCATAAGAATGTCCTTGGGAAGCGCCACAAAATAGCGTACTAAAGGATACAACGAACCAATAGCGTTTAAGATCCTCCCAAGTAGGAAATACGACATGAAGGTAAAAAATAAGCGCTTTTGGCGTAAAAACAAGAAATTCAAATTCTTAAAATGGAATTACAAAATAGGATATTAACCAAGTGAGCTCTGCGGATCTAACACCCCCAACAGATGCGAACCACAACACACTATTTAAACTTAGTTATTCTGATAGTCATTCAACCTGGAGGTCCTAATTTCCATTCCAAATAATTTAGTAAGGTGTTTATAGATGAGAAATTTAAAGTTAGAAAGGAATATATACAGAGCTACATCTTATTTTAGCTGGTTTTCTAGCTGACATTAAGGTGTAAGAATGACTATCTTAAAATGGATTTTCTAAATTCAATGTTAGGTATTCCAAAACTTACATGTATTATGATTAGAAGGCTGACAATACTGTTCAATCATTTAGGTTGAAGAAGATAGATTATTTTAGATGAAGTGGTCAACTAAAACGTCAATATCAGAAGGGGTTTTGTGGAGATTTAAGTAATTTCAATAGTTGAGATCATGAAAAACCTTAAAGCACTTGACGGCCATTTCGTCCTACTATGGGGCTCCTCAGCAGTGCGCATCCACGATCCCGCACCCCGCGAGATTCGAACCCAGGACCTATCAGTCTCGCGCGTGAGCGCTTAACCACTAGATCACTGAGCCGACTGCCATCTAACGGTCTTAATGTCTAACTTCAACCAATTGATGAAATTGCACCACCGTCCACCATTGTCTTCAGTGAGTTAGTATCTCACAACAGAACCGGTTGGACTCCACTGGTCACGGCTTCTCACTAGAAATTCAGTCACCAGTGAGCAGATGATTATTATCAGAAGGGGTTTTGTGGAGATTTTAGTAATTTCAATAGTTGAAATCATGAGTCGATTGAAGCTAGACCACCATGGAAAACATGGAAGCACTGGACGGCCGTTTCATCCCAGTATGAGACTCCTCAGTAGTGCGCATCCACGTTAATACTCTAATGTATATAGTTCATTGAACTAATCAACCACTTTGATTATGAAAAACAAATATGTGTAGAAATAATGTTCAATAATTTACAAACTTGTATAACAAACAATTCGATAGAAATAATTGAACACATAATACTATTTACATAAGTTATTGATAATTTTAGGGTGAATTTACATATGGTGGTACAAGTTTTTCTGTATAATGCTCTATAACTGTATCACATAGTTGATCTGCTATTTCTAAACTGATGCCAACCATATCTTCTCTCCAAGATGAACTTTCCATTCGGCGTATATCACGAATTAAATAACTGGATTAAAAAAGTAGAAGATTATTTGCTGATATTTACAAATTTCTTGAAACAATACCACACAATACTAATTGAATTTGAGGAAGCAGTTATATAGATGTTTCATTTTAAGTACTTGCTTACTTACTTACGCCTGTTACTCCTCGTGGATGAGCAAAGGCCGATCACCAGCATTCTCCATCCATTTTAAGTAACAGTTACTTTATAAAAGAGAATGTTGATTTTTATATCGTTCAGATAAATATATGGAAATGTGTTACGAGTAATTGATGGTTTCAAGCAATCACAGGAATTACATTATCTTATTTCTTTAAATATCGATGGTAAATGTTTCACTTTACACTTTACTAGGTTGTCACAACACACCACTGGAGAGGGAAAGTTGATGAAAGTCCAGGTTAGAATATAGAAATTATAGCCATTGAAGTATGCTGTATTTCATAAACTCTTCTTTAATGGTCCAAATTACCGAGAATCCACCTCCTATTTTCTGGTTATAAAAGTATATTTTATGTCTCTTTATACAGGAACAATATGGTATCAGTATTGCGTTGGGTAGATACTAGTCAATAGCTGCTGTTTTGCTGGGATAGATGACTCGATCAGGGTAAAAAGTGAATGCCAAAGGAAACAATGTTGACACTGGATTAGATCTTAGATACAACCAATGATATATACCAGAAATGAACACAAACAAACATACTTGATGTTATGGTGCTGTTCTGAAATTTAAATGTTTAGATTGTATTTCCAGGCATAAAAGATAAGCGTCTGCGTGATCAACCACGAATATCGGTGAAATAGGAATTATCTTTTGTAAACTTATGCAAATCAACCTCTCAGTCAATCAGAACGTAGAACCTGGTACATATGTACATCCGTTCAACCTCTAGATAACTCACATTTGTTCCCAAAAGTCAGTGTCTATTTGCTACTCAGTAACTCTGTGTTAACTTAAGTATGAATTTGAGCACATAACATAAAAACCAGATGCTAATACTCAAAACATCAAAAAAATCGATTTCACATGAACGCTTAACCTCTATATCACGGCCAAGGAGTCTCGTACTAGGACAAAACAGCCGTACAGTGCTCCCAGGTTTTCAGTGGTGGTCTAGCTAAGATCGACTCATGAACTCGGCTGTTACAATAAATAATATTAGTTTGAAAATGATGTATGGTGTATGACTCCATAGATTTGGATTCATAACTGCTAAATTTCCTAAAATAATTTAGGTGATGACTGTAGATTTTAATTAGCCATAATACAAATATAAGTAACAAAATAAGATGTAATATACGTTAAGTTCAAAATTACCTATCATTTTGACGCCATTGTAGTCGAGTATCATACACTCGTATTAGTCCACCATCAATACGTAAGAAAAAACGTTGTAATAAAAAGAAACCAGAAGACATTGCACGAAACTTTATATTCAGAATAGATACACCATTATCACCTAGTTCATCTTCATATAGCGTTGTATTAACAAAAAAGCGAATAGGATCTTTCCGACGTAAATACTCCATATCTAAACCCTCAGAAGTTGGAGATATACTCCAGGGACCTATAATGAAAGTAATTTACCAATCACGAAATCATTGTTAAGCTATTTAAACTGAGTGCACATTGTCATATAACCAAATGGAATACTATCGTGCTATTGATTACAATCCTATAAGTTGATATACTTGGGTGAAAAATGTAAAACCACACCAGTCACATCTGAATTGTGTGGTGAACAACACAAACTAGGGCTTGGAAAACACCATGAGTTATCTTCAAATTTACGTAACGTGCAAGAATTAAGCCCGACAGTAAGATCATAATTTTATTAAGCAGAGTGACCATCTATACATATCCCTCGATGATTTATTTGCTAATAGAAATCTCATTACGTTTATCCTTGTATATAATATTTCATAAACGACCATGTTTTACAGATAAAAGAACTGTTCCTACTGGCTAACATTCTTGTCTTTTGATAACCATTTACTTGAGGGAGGTTGCACCAATAATTTGGCCTCATGAAAAGTTATCGTTTGAACACATGGTGTCATCTGTCAGTCAAAATTTCAATAATTTGCTTTAGAAACCCCAAAACGTGATCGTTATTCACGAAACTTCCGAAACAATTCCCTAGAACGGTGACGACACGGATGCTATGAGTATATAAACGTAAACAAAACTCACCAGACAAAGTGCCTGTATACGGAGTAGTGAAAGTCCAGTCATATGGTTTATGTGGCAGTATGTCTTCTTGATTAGTAATTCGAGAATCTCTCCAGTCCTTTGCAAATGGTACCTTCGGTGTGTTGAGATTAGTATTAAGTAACTCACCTCTATAGTTATATTCTTTGGGTCGACTAATTTAAGAGCATCAAGTGCATTAAATTCAATTTTGCATATTTGTTCATTATTTGGTTGACAGAAACAAATTGATAAGGAATTTTGATCGAATATCATTTCAGGAATCGTTGGAAGTTCTAAACTTCTTTCAAACGCCTCTCTTTCTTCGCCAAGAGATTTTAAAATATGATGTTCTTTGAGAATAATTAACCAGTCATCTAGACGGTGCTGAGAAGACTTGACACAAGCTTGTTCCATTAGGGTTTGACAAAATAATCCTATCAAATAGGTTCTGAACAATACAGGATCAGTCAAGCCCGGTATAAAATAAGTACAAGAGTAACACGATCAATATCTACAAGATATACAAAGAAATTATTTAAAAAGTTACGAATTGTAAGAAACACAAACATACTTATCTTAATACATCACTATAATAAAGTTAGTACGTCAGAACCAGGTATTGCAATAAGTAGGAGTAACAAAACACATACAAGAACTTGTATAACACAAACATCCGATAACAATATATAGTTTACCAATATTACAAAAATTTTGGTATATTACATCAAAAAAGTGTATTAAACAAGGTGGGATGGTAGTATTGTGAAAGACAGAGGGTTACAAAATCAATGAATAAGTAGGTATGAACGGTAGCTAGTGAGAGATGCACTTCAATTGGGAGATTGATTCAACTTTTACGAAGAACATAGTAAAATACAACCGCAAGATTCTAGCAGGCTTCTATTTTATGTCATCCCTGTTAACATTCAACACTACTGATATGCAAAATTAAAAAAACCAAACCAGAAAGTAGTGATGAATCTATAGATGCCAGTTTTATACAGCTATTGCCCAGAACACTAAATGTTATCAACAATTCTCCCACTTCGAACCAAACAAGATATAAATACTTTAGAAGTTTCAAAACTAGTTTGCGATGAGTATGAAATCACTCAAACTCTTACTAAGGTTATATCGATGATGTTACTTTTCAACGCTTGAATCAGCCGAAATTAACATAGAACTTAAGATAAAAATGTATCAGTATACGTTCACAAACTATATAGATACAGTGAAGAGGAATCAACAAGATAAACAAAAAAGTCGAAATAGTAACCCCATTGACCACACCTACTCACCTTACTAGCTCGCTTACTAGGTATTTAGGTGTGTTACTCTTTAAGTGTGAGGGCTGGTAACACATGGTTACTAAAACAGAAGTACGTGAAACGGGGTTCGAACCTGTGATTTAGGAGGGGAGCATTAGACGTCCTAATCACTAAGCCACTGGTCCACTAGAACTTGAGGAAATATTTTTCATTTATTCACTCCATGAAGATTGATTACTATCCACAATTGTAACATACTTATAAAGAATAAGTTATAAAATGTACGAATATATTTGTGGAATACAAGGTATGAAACAACGAAACTCGAAACCCAGAAAATAAGGAATGGATGCGTCTGAGCCACTTCACTACGAGTCCAATTATTGATCAAAATTACTGGCAGGACTTCGCCTTCTCAAACACAGGGAGACGAGTTTCCGGATATTTGTCATTTCAAAACAGACAGCGAAAATAAATGTTTTCCCCAGATTTTTTAAAGCCACACTAGTATATCTGAAACGATGATGGGTAGACAGTTCATTTTGTATTTAAAAACTGTTATTTCCTAGAAATGAATACTGGAAGAAAGTTACTCCAGGTCTTTATCAGACTTGCAAACCATATACCACATTTTAATACTGCTTGGTCTACTTTTCTTTAAACGAGCGTTGCCAATAACGATGGTTAGTAGTCAGACAATAAAACTTAGAATTACAGGTAACTGATTTCCTTCATAAAAAATAGACTGGAGTTTATATGTAAAATATCACCCGCTTAGATTTTAAAAAGCATACAAAAAATTACTAAGCTGCCAAATATTACGGTCGAGATAATGATTTCTTAGGATGTCTTAGTCATTCGAAACTACAACCTATTACGTCGAACTACACGCCTGACATAGATAAGACCAACCATGAAAGACTTGATTCTGCACAAAGGAAAATATCAACAAGGGTAATCATCAAATCGAATATATTTGATTTAGTGACTATAAGTAGGATTTGTTCACGAAGGATACTTAAAGCACCTCACGCCGACCAGAGTCGTTTGAGTCGACGTGAAATTAAAACGGCAGTTAGTGTGAAGAATATAACATCAGATCTGAAGGATAATCATAATAATACAAGCTTCAGATAAGTTGTCAGCGATTCACCGACTAATAGGTACTATGATGATGTGCAGGTACTGAAACCAACCATCACATCCATTTACATCTTAAAAACACCATAGCTTGGTGTTTATCGCAGAAGTTATGGAAGCTATGTCGAATAACGCATGAAACCGCCCGTTGAATTCTGAAGCAGTGAGAAGGGAACTGGTAAACATTCATTTGTAAGAGACTAGGTAATAAAGTTACTCTAATCCAAGCCTTGTATATAAACTAAATGCCAACTTCTACAATGAAACCTTCCTGAAATGACCAGTAAGTTACATGTGCCAAGGTCACATCCAGCTAATCAAATTAAGCGGTATATTTTTACTATGAAAATTAGGTTGACCTGACTATCCTAAATACCCATTACAATATTGTCATTTTGGCCCAAACATCAAACTTTGCCGAGAGGAATCGGCAGACTGTTGACTCCTTTTGATATGTATTTCTATAGTATGGAAGTGTTCTATTCGACGTATTCCTTGTTGAAACTGCATGAGCGAATGCAGATTAGGCAATAGTAGCAGCGACCATTGATTAATGCAGGGTAACCACTCACAACCCATACAAAATCAGAGTATAAGCCAGGCTGTCTTTTAAAAGAAACTTCGTCAGCTGCCTTTGCTATCGTCACTGGTCGGAAGTTTCTTAGTGCACTGTTACTAACCACAAACGTTTGCTTGAGTTTTGGTGCAGGCTTTTTCATTTCATATCCTTGGTGGGTTGACCCTTAATTAGGGGTTGTCACTGAAAACTAGTAGTGTTATACTGCAATAAAGCAGGTCATGTGTCATATGATACATCTGGATTATATTCCACTAATCCCACAGTACTTCATTGGTTATAAACAGAGGGCTTCCAGAAAAGCTAAGTTCGCTTTGTTTTTTTGGTCTGAGTGCCTTTTTAGTTGTTCTTCTGTGAACACGATCCAAGAAAGCAATACATTTTCAGGTTACAGTGACGTAAAACAGAAGTCTTTTTCCAGGTGAGAACCCAAGCAAACACCTAAAAACATTTCCACTAACTCTGAAGTCAACCCACCGAATATTCTTGAAGGAAATCTCTGGCTGCCACGAGCATAATTTAATGACTGTAGAATACCAGTAGACACTGCTAGCAGCTCTTCTAGGGCTACTAGAGGTCCCAGGCCCGGGTAAAGAAAGAGGGTTGGCGTGGGGTCAGCAACCCGTAGAAAAATAACTTGCCAAAGTACGCTAATCAGAATAAACAAATTAAACCATTCGAATTCTGTTCTTCAAGTTGAAGGATCTTCATTCAGAAGAATGATGACATCTCGTGGTGAAAGCTTAGATTCTTGGGAAGTCACGAGGTAAACGCCCTTCATACCGACCAGAGCAACAATTATTATAGGTACGTGGAATGTCCGGACAATGTGGAAGAACGGGAGAACCAATCGAATAGCTGGATAAATGAGGAGATACAGCTTGACGGGGCTCGTGATAAGTGAAACCCAGCGTACCCAATTCGGATAGAAAAAGTTAGATTCGGGAGAGATGTTGCTGTATTCTGGTCATGAAGAACAAAATGCTCCACATATCGAGGGAGTTGCTGCGATACTGTCTAAGGAAGCAAACAAAGCACTTATTGGAATGAATTTCTCATGGACACACGATCATTAAAGCACCCTTCAAAACAAAAATGTGGGAATCGAATGAATGTTATCCCGTGTTATTCTCTAAACAATGGTGGCTGTAAAGACGATGAACATCAGTTCTACCCGAGGCTTCAATCGATCATAGCGAAGCGCTCATGAAAGAACCCGACCACCAGGATGAGAGGTTTGAACATCAAAGTCGAAACGCATAACACCGTCCATGAAGATATCGTGCGACTACTTGGATTGGGAGAAAAGAATGAGAACAATAGGAGGTCCCAAAATTTATGTGCATTTAGCAAAATGGTAATAGTTGGCGTAATATTCCCTCACAAACGCATGCACAAAGCTACATGGTCTCATGAGATCACACTTAAGAGAACAAGATCGATCATATTTGCATGGGAAAATTCAGAAAATACATGGTAGACGTGGGAAGCAGAAGAGGAGCTGATATAACTTTGAATCACTGCCTGGTGGTTTCTAAGGAAACATTGGACAACTGAACAGGCAGCATTATAAAGGTCCAATACAGCGTTCCTTCAAGATACTGACAAACTCGACAAATTTAAGACAGGTTTCAGCAATACGCTCTAAGACTTACAAGATCCGCTTACAGAAGAAACTACTATGTAGTACAGTTGAAAAGGGATCTCAGAAGCACCAGCTTGAACGTGTCAGGAGGTTATGGTTCGTAAGAAGCACCAACAGCCGGAGAAATGCGGAGATATCTATGACATGTACTGAATACACATAAGTAAACAAGATACTGAAAAGCAGAATTAAGGATTTCAAGTAGAAAAACATGGAAAATATCGCAGTGCTAGCGGATGAATCTGCAAAATAGTCGAATCCGTGAAGAGTTTATGATGCAACGAAAAAACTAGCAGAGAAATATAATAAACTTGAGAGATAAGTTAAAGATAAATAAGGAAAGCCAATCACTGCGATAGGAGAAAAATGGAACAGATTGACAGAACTCTCCGAGGAACTCTTGCAAAGACCATACACATTGAACCCACAAGACAGTGAAAAAGCACTTACAAACAAATATCACTTACTAATAAACGAAGAGATCAGGATGGCCATCAAAAAAACCAACAGTGGGAAATCGGTAGCACCAAACAATAAATCAGCTGAAGCATGAAAGTCGGGCACAGAAGTAACTGAAACGTGCTACACGCTATATTCAGGAAGATTTGGGAGGATAAACAAGTGCCACCGATCGACTGAAAACAAGGATACCTCATTTAAATGTTGGTTGCAGGTAGTCAACAGGAAACCCTGGGCCGGGTTTTGTGCTCCTTGGCACTCGTCAGCAAGGTGTACCTCTAATCTTGAGGGAACTGGTGCTCCCTGGCGGATTCGATCTCGTGTCACTCAGCTTCACAGTTAAAGACGTTACCACCGAGCTATCCAAACCTCATCAAGATACCAAGTAAAGGAGATCTGAGCAATTGTGAAAGCCACAGAAGCACCACACTACTAACGGTAACAGAGTGCTGTTGAACTTAATGAAACATTTGGTAAACGCCTAACTCCGGAATCAACAAACAGGATTACGTGAGAATCGATTGTATATCTCCCAAACCGCGGCACTTTGGATCATTGTTGAGAAATCGATTGAATGCAACCCGTCACCATACATCAACTTCATTTACTATGAGAAAGCGTTTCACAGTGTGGATAGGAGAACTTTACGAAACCTCCTTCGACGCAATGGAGTGAGTAGCTGATTAGATCGTCAACATCATACGAAATGTATACGACGGAGTACACTGCAAAGTCATGCATGGAGGACATCTGACAGATGCATTGCAAGTGTGAGCTGATGTCATACAACGTTGCTTACTCTCATCTTTTGGATTTCTTCTGGTGGTTGAATGGATTACGAAGACCTCAAGAACTGAGAAGTGGCTTGGAATACAATGAACAGCTTGAATGGTGCTTGGTGGCTTCGACTTCGCAGATGACCTAGATCTTTTATCTCATGCACAAAAACAAATGTAGGTGAAAACCACTGGTGTAGCAGTAGTCTCTACATTCGTAGGCCTCAACATACACGAGAGATAAGGGAAGATCCTCAAATACACTATGAAGAGCACCAACCCAAACACACTTGATGTCGAAACTTTGGAAGAGGTGGGGGCTCCCACGTATCTTGTCAGCGTATTTGATGAAGAGAGAGGATCTGATACGGGGGTGAAGGCATTGGTTGCCAAACCAAGGACAGCATTCCAACAGTTTAAGAGCATTTATAACTCGAAACAACTGTCTGCTACCCAACAACGATGTTAGAATTTTCAATACGAACATCACAGCAGTTTTACTGTATGGATTTGAAACTTGGAGAACTACATCCGTCATTAAAATTGTACAAGTATTATTCAACAGTTATCTACTCAATATACTGAATTTCCGTTGGTCGGATATCATCGGTAACAACCTTCTATTGAGGAGAACAAGTTAGCTTTCGATTGAAGAGAAATTTAGGAAAAATTGCCAAAGATGAGTATGACATATATTAAGGAAGTCATCAAACTGTCCCAGGAGGCAATCCCTGACTTGGAATTGTGAATGGTAAAGGGTAAAATGAAGATGAAGGAACGTATTGCGTCGGTAATCGGAGGCGGAAATCAAAAGGGTGAATAGTAACAGGGAAAAACTGGAGATAGGAGTTTAGGACACAAGTGGTTGGAGAATGCTCGTGGCAGGCCAATGGTTGTCCATGAGAGGTAAGTTTGTATTTAAGTAAGGTTCTACATAACTTAGCAAGCTGATTTCTAATCCAACAAGTTAATGCACGACATTTGCAAGAAACTTTGATCCCTAAAGCTCACATGTTCCCGATACACACCGAATACTGGACGGCCGATAAGGCTCTACTTCTCGTATCTAATCAATAATGTAATGTGCAAATCTAATAGAAAGTTTGCCAAGCTATATTACTTCCATGATGATTTTACTATCTTTCCCTTTTCTTCTGATCAGCCGTTTGGCGCTGAAGCCCAACAGTGTTGTCATCTTATTAAAACATTATTCAAGCATCCCAATAACCTTTCATCATTATCCAGAAGCCCTACGAAATGGTTGCTTGCTGGACACAACAGGAGTGTTCGAACTATCAAGATGGTCTTCGCATCTGATAAAGGTTCATATTTTTGTTGAAAAAGACATGGAAGACATTTCCTGTTATCTTTCCTCTCGTTTTTTTCTTTTGTTCGTTTTGAAGGCAGACCACATTTCTCCATAAAATTACTTCCAATTCTATCCGAACTTCTGTAACGTGTTGCTCCATGACAGTTTGGAGCTTTCGATACGTAAACTGTTGCTCTAAGTCTCTTAGCTTTCTCATTAATCTGAATAGAATTATTCTGGTGGAACACAAAAACTCACATAGCTCAGCGACATACATGCATCGCATAAGGTTGTAGAAAATGTGGTGACCCGCCAACATAGCAAACATTTTTCGCTAAACAGAAAGCGAAGAACACGAACAATTGTCATTTAGAATTTACCCATTCAATAATGACAGTAGTACGTTAATATCATGAACTATGTTATCGCGTTTCTTGTCATTTTGAAATAGATTGTAGTTTCTAGGTGCGATATCTGAACGCATACTTCACCTCAGTCAGTCTGCAAAGTTCCCCTTCACGAAGGCATTCCACCCAAACTGTCTACGTTC